CCACTCCCAGCTTCCAGGATTCCCCCGTAAGGAGTTCCGTCACACCAAGCCACGCTCGTAGGGCGAGCATTCCAGCCCAGGTTGCTGTAACACTGCAGAATCTTTCTTTAGTGCTGCTTCTCGGCGCTTGCAGGAGTCCAAATGGGGCACGAGAACTCGACAGCAGTCAGGGAGTTTGTCCTGCTGGGCTTGTCCCACAGCCACAGAGTGCAGGCGCTGCTCTTCTCCTTCTTCCTGCTGTTCTACGTGGCAGTTCTCCCCAGCAACGTCCTCCTCATTCTCACAGTTCGGGGCGATTCCCAGCTCGGATCACCCCTGCACTTCTTCCTGGCCAACCTGGCGTTCCTGGATATCTGCTACTGCTCTGTCACCCTACCCAAAATGCTGGCTGACTTATTCTCCAGCCCGAAGACCGTCTCCTACAACGCCTGCGTGGCTCAGCTCTCATTTCTTCACATCCTGGGAGCAGCGGAAATCTTCCTGCTCTCGGCCATGGCCTACGATCGTTACGTTGCCATTTGCCAACCCCTCCGCTACGCCACGCTTGTGAGCGGGGCCGTTTGCCGTGCCCTGCTTGCAGCTTCGTGGGGCGGAGGCCTCGTTCACGGCGTCGTTTTGTTTGCTCTCACCATCACCCTCCCCTTCTGCGGCCCCAACGTCCTGGACAACTTCTTCTGCGACGTCCGCCAGCTGGCGAAGCTGGCCTGCACCAACACCCGCACGGTGGAACTGCTGATGTTCCTCAACAACGGCGCCGTCGTCGTGCTGTGCTTTGTGCTGCTCCTCACCTCCTACACGGCCCTGTTGCTGAAGCTCCGGGCGCGTTCCTCCCAGGCCAAGAAGAAAATCACCTCCACCTGCATTTCCCACATGCTTGTGGTTTTGCTCACCTTCGGCCCGGCGATTTATATCTACGTCCTCCCCTTCCAGGCCGTCCCGATGGAAAAAGTCGTCGCTCTTTTCCACACGGTCGTCTTCCCTTTGACGAACCCCATCATCTACACGCTGTGCAACAAGGAGATCAGGAGCTCCATGGGGAGGTTGGTCCACAAGCACTCGGTGCGGCGTGGGCTTTTCACGAAGTATTTCGGAGCGAATAAATGAAGGTTAGCCTTGTTATCCTTCCAGAAGTCTTCTTCTATCAGGCGAAGCGATACTGAAACCCATGAGGAGTCATTCAGGGCAGCATCAGTGCGTAGCAAGGAATTGGCTGTGTGTCGTGAAGTTATCGCTGATGTATTAAACTTTTCAGGAGTCACCTGGTGGGTGGTGAGGGCTCACAGAGCCCTTTGCGGAGCGCTGGCCCCCATGCGTTGCTTCAAGGCTTCAGTTTCCAGTCAGACGCCCCCTGCTGGTGCTGCCTTCGTGTTGGCTTCCTCCATGACTCAGTCATGGCTTTCTATCAGGCCTCAACCAATCAGGCCAAGCCAACTATGCCAGGCCCCGCCCCCACACACGAAGCCACGCCCACCCAAAGAAAACCACGCCTCCCCATGAGTGAACACCCATCCCTAGGAGGTGGTCACCCCAATGTGACCCCGAAGTTACCTCAATGTGACCCCAATGTGATCCCAATGTGTCCCCAAAGTTACCTCAATGTGACCCCAATGCGACCCCAATGTGACCCCAAAGTTACCTCAATGTGACCCCAAAGTGACCCCAATGTGATCCCAAAGTTACCTCAATGTGACGTGAATGTGACCCCAAAGTGACCCCAATGTGACCCCAGTGTGACCTCAATGTGACCCCAATGAGATCCCAAAGTTACCTCTATGTGACCCCAAAGTGACCCATGTGACCCCAATGTGACTCCAGAGGGCCCCCAGTGTGTCCCCAAAGTGTCCCCAAAGTGACCCCAAAGTGACCCCAATGTGACCCCAAAGTGTCCCCAAAGATACCTCAATGTGACCCCAATGTGACCCCAAAGATACCTCAATGTGACCCCAATGCAACCCCAATGTGATCCCAAAATTACCTCAATGTGACCCCAATGTGACCCCAATGTGA